TCTGAGTTCTTAATGCATCCAGATAAATGAGCTCCTCTTGAAATTCTAACGAATTCTTTGCATCAAAACAGCTGTGTATGTTGAATAATCATCTAGTGTGTATTAGCTCAATCATGGCTTACTGCAGCCCCAACCTCCCTGGCTCAAGCTATCCTCCTACCTTAGCTTCCTGAGTAGCTAGGACCACAGGCGTGTACTACTACACCCAGCTTTTTTTTTTTTTTTTTGAGATGGAGTTTCACTGTTGTTACCCAGACTGGAATGCAATGGCACGATCTCGGCTCACTACAACCTCCGCCTTCTGGGTTCGAGCAATTCTCCTGCCTCAGCCTCCCGAGTATCAGAACAAGAGGGTAGAACGCACCACCATGCCCAGCTAATTTTTGTATTTTTAGTAGAGACGGGGTTTCACCATGTTGACCAGGATGGTCTTGATCTCTTGACCTCGTGATCCACCCGCCTCGGCCTCCCAAAGTGCTGGGATTATAGGCGTGAGCCACCACGCCCAGCCTACACCCAGCTTTTCGTTTTTTCCTGTAGAGATTGGGGAGTGGTCTCCTTACATTGCACAGGCTGGTCTTGCACTCCTATGCTCAGGTGATCCTCCTGCCTCCCAAAGCACTGGGATTACAGGCATGAGCTATGTGCCTGGCTCACACACTGTTCTAAGTGCTCTATGTTCAATACTCCATTACAGCTCCACTCAGCCCTTTGTGGTAAGGGCTACTATCAGTTTTCATACTGTAGAGGGGGAAACTGAGGTACATAAAGTTTGAATAACTTGTCTGAGACTATGGAGCATGCAAGGGCAGGATTAAATCCCCAGCAATTCATGGTCAGTGTCTGTCCATCTGTCTTTCAAGCTGTCCAGCTCCAAAGCTGACATAGCTGAAACGCTGAACCAGAAAACTGAGGAGGTAATGCCAGCACAGAGTTCTACCCTCTTGTTCTGATACATCCCTCTCTTCCTCAAAGGACCAGGGTCCCCAAGGCTCTTTCCTGCTTCTTGGCCTTCTACCACTGAGCCCAACCTGGCTGAGTCTGCATTCTTTACATCTGAGCTCTGGGGAAACTTCTCAAGGGCCCCAGGCTGTGCCCCCATCCTTTGCTCCCTGTACTTTGTATGCACTGCTGATGTTAACTGTAATTAAGTGATTCTTTGATCAACTATTTGTTTAATGTCTATCTCCCCTACTTGACTAAAAATGGTAGCCGTTCCAGAATTTCTACACAGGTGGAAGGAGATAATCTCTTTGGGTAGGGGGGGCCTTTGCTTCCTTGCTTAATACTTGATAAGGTTGAGAAATGTCAATTGAACACAGAATGAATGGGGGTTCTGATGGAGATTGTAGAAGAAAGCACATGCCATCCTTACCTCTCCATGCCTTCCCTGTGGCATCACCACTGAATGTAAGTCCTATAAGGGCAAAAATTGTATCTGTCCCTCTTCTCACTATAACTCTTTTGTTTTTTTCTTTTTTTTGTACAGACAGAGTCTTGCAGTGTCACCCAGACTGGAGTGTAGTGGCAGATCTTGGCTCATTGAGTCCTCCACATTCCTGGTTCAAGCAATTCTCCTGCCTCCACCTCCCAAGAAGCTGGGACTACAGGTGCATGCTGCCATGCCCGGCTAATTTCTTTTTAATGTTTTAGTAGAAACGGGGTTTCACTGTGTTGCCCAGGCTGATCTCAAACTCCTGAGCTCAGGCAATCCGCCCACCTCAGCCTCCCAAAGTCCTAGGATTACAGGCGTGAACCACTGTGCCCGGCCCTCTCACTTTAACTCTTAACAGCTGCCACTATGCCTGATACACAAGAAGTGTTACATGTGACAAACAAACATAACAATTTTTTGCTGAATAAATAAAATTTAAAATGCAGCCTTGAACTTCTGGTCTGAAAAAGAGGGGCGATACAATCAAGATCCAGCTTTCTGAAACAATTTTACACAGGAAAACATGTTGCACATAGGACCAGCATACAGTAAGTGCTCCAGAAGTGACTGTCAGTGAATCGGAATTCCTGCCTCTCCTCACTCCCACTAACTCATCTTCCAGGTCCTAGCAAGGCTAAGAGGCTAATAAAAGAACAAAGCCCAGAACTGAACCCACTCTACTCCCCTGGCCACAATCTGGTAGGAGTGAGGATTTTTTTTTTGGAGTTAGGGGGAAAAGATTGTCATTAGCACTGGCAGGAAAGCAAGGTTGTTGGGACGTGCCTCTAGCAGAAATGTTATACCTGGGGAAGACATTGAGTAGCTTTGGAGTAAACAGAGTCAGATAAAGTAGAAAAACAAATCCAGCACAGGTCTGCCGGCCACCCAGTCCTAAAGAATGAACATGATATCTTCACCCTGCAATGGAGCAAATGCTTTGCATTCCCCAATCACCTTTCATTCTGTCCCTTCATCCCCTAAACTGTGGCCCAGGGCTGCTGGAGAGGTTTAAAAACACAAATCAGAATGTGTTGGACCTTGCTTAAAATCCTAATAGGATGACATCCGAATTCCTCACCAGGGTCACTTCAAACTCGCTCATAAAGCTGTGGCCACAGACGCCTTCTGTCAGTGACTCCAGTATGCCAGGCTTTTCCCACACGGCCTCCACCCATGCTCCCTCTGCCTGAGATGTCTCTCCAGTCCTCACGAAGATTGACTTCTCAGTCATCAGATCTCAACTCACAACTAGAAGCCGCCCTTTCAGAGATGTTCTCTGATGATCATCTTCCACCATCCCTGCTCCCCCCGCACCCCCCCCCCCCAAGCAACATACCCCAGAGAAAGCTCATTTCCCTTCTAGCACTTACAATCTTGCATTGCAGTCTGTCTGTCTTTTCAAAAGACTGTGAGCTTTACAAGGGCAGAAAGGGCTGTCTGTCCCTCACCACCGAATCTCTGCAGTCAGGACAGGCCCCATTAAAGAATCTATCAATGAATAAGTGAGTGAATGGATGAATAAATTTTTCATAACTGCTGCTCCAGACCATTCCTCAGCTGAGGTTTGAAGCACAACCAGAATATGGCCTCCAGAGCCCTCCTAGACACTCTGAATCACGCTGTACTTAAGCATCAGAGGTCCCTCCCAGCTCAAGACTGGGAGGTCTTCCACACCACAGGCTGGGGTCTCCTCACCTCCTCTTTCAGGGAAGCTGAGAAATATTATGAAATGGAATCCTGTCTGTCTCTTGGGCAGTTCTCTAACAAAGAAAACAGGACAGCAACCCCTCTCCTCACAGTTCCTCCAATCCTCCTTTTCTGCCATAGATTTAAGATTTATTTATTCCCATCCTTCTAATTGTTTCAGCAAGGGCCATAGGTGAGCATCAGCTGGAAAATTACTGCTTCAACTTTCATCGTTTAAAATGCTTAAATGACATGCAAGAAACAGTTTTTAGGTCTGCGATGCTGCGAAGGGTTGGTAGCAAAGTAGAGCCAGGTTGCAAAGACCTAGAAAATCAGTGCTACGATTTACTAGCTCTTCCATATACCCAATGCAGGACCCCTGGCCTCAGTTTCTACAGCTGACAAATGGAGAGGGCGATACTGAACTTCATAACCCCTAAAAGGAAGTCTGGACAGCTGTACCCATTGTCCTGGGCAAGGGTTCTCGTGGTCTTAGAGGAAGGTCTCGCCCCTGAAAGGAAGGCTGAGGTTCCCTAAGGAGAGTCTGCTGTGCCCTCAGAAGCTGGGTAAGTACACGGAGAGGTGAGTCCGAACGGTGAGAAGGCATTTTACACTAGGACACGGTGACCTTGGGTTTCGGTCTGGGCTGTCTGTCTCGAGAGTCCCAGCCCCAGCCCTAGGCCAGACCTCAGCCCTAGGCTGGGAGCCTTTCATTGGTTCCTCTGACAACAGCCAAGCACAATCTATAGTGGCGTAGGAAAAAAAAGACTGCTACACAATCTCCCGGTGAGGCCAGAACAGCGGCAAGACAAACCTTGCAGGGGACTCAGGGCCAAGCCCTGGCCCAGACCCCGCTCTTATCCACGCATCAAAGCCACCCCTTGCCCCGGACTTCCCGGAGGCTACAGGCTCCTCGGTTCCAGGGAGGAGCAGAGCCAGCCGCGAGGGCTCCCCGCCTTCCTGGAGTCAAGCCATTAGGCGGGGGCTTTTCTTTTCACCAGCTTGAGCTGATCCTCACCCCCGCCCCCCAACGCCACCATCATTAACAGCAAAGAAAAGATCCCCAGCCATTTCCATTTCCTCTGCGGCTCAAGAGCCCTGCTGTTATTTAATCCTGAGGCCACCCCGGCAGCATCCTCGGGCGCGGCCGGCTCCACCCATCCACCTGGCCAGTTCTCGGCGGTTCCCACTTCCCCAGAGGGGAGGCTGGCGAGAGGTCGGGAGATTGGGGAAAGGCGCCTACAACAGCAAATGGCCATGGGCCTTCAGTGGACCGAGGCTCCTTAGGCCAGCGTCCTGTGAAGGCTGGGAAACCGACTGGGACAGAGAGAGGACACCTAGCTAGGGCGGCAGAGGGCCGGCAGACGCCCGGGCATTGCGGACATAACACTGGGGCGGGGGGCAGGGGGAACGCTGGGAGGCTAGGGCCAGGCTTCCTCCGGCTGAGTTGCCAGAATCGCCCCGGGTGGTACTGGAGCCGGAAGAGGCCTGGGCCCAGTCACTGTCTACACCCAAGAAATGGGGGGAGGGGCGGCCAGCACTCCCAAGAGATTCAACCTCAGAAAAAGGAACCAGATTCACTCACCAACACCCACTCCACCCTTTGATATGGATGATGGACATTTTCTTAATTTTTGGTAAACGCAGCTTCGAGAGCCCTCCCCCCTGGCGTCACTGGTCTAGAGAAAGAGATGGCCCCCAGCAGGGGTCCTCCCGTCCCCACCTTTTGACTGCCTGCGGGAGGCAGAGATCCCAGATCTAGGTGTGTCCTCCCCCACCCTGCTCTCAATTCTGGATCCGGAGGCCGCAGTGCCCCCCGCCCCCCAGCGACACTGACGGTTCCAGCCTAGGCCCGCAGTGGCGTGAAGGTGGCCTTTACCTCCTCTCGCAGGCTGGGAGGGGGTGCAGCCCGCGCAGCTGGCCCAGCTGCAGCAGTCGCCGCCGCCCTCCATTCATTAAAAAAAAAAAAAAAAAAAGCAACAACAACCTCCACTGGAACCTCCACCCCTCTTTGTAAAACAACGACGGCTCCTGGTAGAGCTAGAGCCAGTCCCAGCAATCACGGGTTAAGATCTTTTCCCGCCCCCCATTCATAAAAAAAGGAGCGCAGCGCATGCGCGCTCGGGGTCTCTTGTGCCCACCCATTCATAGAATCGCGAAAGAGGCGCGTGCGCACTGGAGCTCCCTTCCCTCCCATTCATAAAAAAGCCATTTTCCCAGGCAGTGGTTGCAACATCGCCGAGGAGGTAGCGAGCGGAGCTGACAGCACGGAGCTGGCGCTGTGGAGCGCAGCGAGCCTTGCCGGTTCCTCCGGCCGGCGTCTGCGAGTACAGCGGCGGCTGACCTGCTCCGGCACCGGGATTTACACAGACGTGGGGCGATGCTTGTGACCCTGCAGCTCCTCAAAGTAAGTCCGTGGCCGGTTGTGGGATCTGAAACTGCCCCGTGTGAGCCGCGACGCGACTCCCCCTTGGGCTGGGGCAAATGGTGCGCTATTTCTAGGCGCGCCTCAGTGTTCCTTCCCTCAGCCTGCGCCTCCTTGAGTCGCTGCGGTGCGCCGCAGCTCCCTGACGCCCTCGGTCCGGCCGGCACGGCGCCGGGGGTGTTCACAGCCTGGCACCGCCGTTTCCAACCCCTGGGCATTGCCAAGCCCGGCTTCCCCGCCCTCTGCGACTCGGGAAGCCCCGTGCGTGTCCCGGGAGTTTGCCTCTGGCCTGGCCTCTTTCCTCCTTCTGCCACCACCCTCCTCGAGCGCTGGAACGGGCAGCTCTGGGCTTGGTCAGGAGCCATCGTTTGGGTCGGGGGGCGCCCTCACTCTGGGCGACTCGCCCACCTCCCAGCTCGGTGCCCACGGTGCCAGCTTTGCCGTGTATCTCTCAGCCCGCCGCAGCGGCCTATGCTCGACGTAGATTTTTCCTTTCTCTTTGGAGCCGTGACCGACAGGATTCCCTCCCCTTCTGCCTCTCCCTCGATGGTCAGCGAGGGGCTGGCTCAGAACTGGGCATTTCTGCTCCCTCTCCTTGGCGAGGCGGTTCCTCGCCGTCTGACCTTTGCTCCGCTGCCGCATTTTATGCTGTGCAACTGCCTTGCAGTTACCTTTTTCTTGCCTGGCCTCCGTAGGGCCTGAGGCTCCTCGGCCACCCTGTACCTCCCTATCCCCAGGCACCGAGTTGTGCCAGGCCCCGGAGACCCCAGGCCGTGCTAGGGCTGTGGTGGGGGCTGAAGGTGCGTTTACATAACGCCAGCGTGTGGGAGCTGGAGGAAGAGGTTGCGAACGTAGGAGAGATAAGGCTCCTACTTTCCCTCCTTTCTTCTTGGTGGTACCAGGCTTGACATCACAAAGAAGAGAAAAGGATAGAGACGGTACGTTCTGAAAAATTCGGAATCTCCAAGACCCCGGGGACAGTGAGCAGGGTGAGGGCGGGTTTGGCTAGCCAGGGCAGCTGGAGCTTGGCTCCATCACTGGGGCCAAGGCTGTGCCCAGTTCCCCTTCCATGCAGACGATCAAAAAGCATTTAGACAACAGCTGCTCTTGTGCAAGAAGATGGTTTCTCAATTCTCCTTGATTGGGGGCAGGGGGTTGTGGGCAGAAGAGGCAAGAGAGACGGAAAATGGTTGCATGGCTTGTAGGGCTAAGGGATGGACAAGAGAGGCGAAATGGGCTGGAGGGACTAGATGGTAGGCAGAGGGGCGAGCTGCTGGCTGCCTCTTTCACCAGCTGCTGGAGGGGCATCCATATTGGCAGGCCTTGGTGAGGGCAGGAGGCCGCCTTCTGGTTCAGCAAGGCTCCGGGTGGTACCCCCCAGCGTGGTTAGTGCTGGAAAGAAGAGTGTACAGTGGGGTGCCCAAACCTAGTGGCAGCCCCTTCTCTCCTGCCTCCTAATCAGTGGCATGATTCTCTCCAGTTTTGGGAGAGGCCAGGCACTCTAGAGGCCAGAGAACTTGCGGAGGGATGAGAGCAAGCACTCGACTGTCTCTGTAGCTGACCGAAGCACTAACGTCTCTGACAAGCCTCTCGGGATTCAAAGCTGGAAGGTAAAAGGCCCAGAACAGTTGGGGAACTGTGGGTTTATCAATCTCTTAAAGAGCTCTGTCTGGCCTGAGGCCCTACCCAATATTGCACTGGTGAATTTCACAATGTTTAGAGATCTCCAGATCTTCACACAAATGGAGCATAAACGTCTCTGAAATTTTCAGCCTTTTTTTTTTTTTAAGTGAGGATGTCGGGAGGATTAAGAAAGGTAGGTCTGAGGTTAAAGATTTCTCTTTATCTCTCCCTTTCTGTCTCCCAGAAGGGTGGGAAAGAACTAGTGAAGATGTCCATGTGGACATCACATTTCCTCTTTCCTATCCCTTGGGAGGGTCCTCATGCGCCACCAGGCTCCAGACAAATCCTGATATGGTGAACAGTGCACACACTTACCAATCGAGCTGTGTGGCCAGTAAGGGTGTAGGGTGGGGATTTTAGTAGCAGATTTCTGAAATCTCAAAGGAGAAATATTGGTCACCTACAGTGAGGAGACTTTAAAGGCATCTGTTGGTTATGGGAGTCACTCCCTTTTGGTGGAGTGTAAATGGCCTCTTGCCCTTGGCCCTCCTATCCAGTCCCACGACCTTTTCCAGATCACTCTCTGAAATGGCCTCATCTTACTATAAAGCTTTAGTTAGGGCTGATGGGAGAAGACAGAGCACATACCAGGGCATAGGCTGTGGACAGGTGGAAATTTGGAGCTTACAGATGTAATTGTTATTTATTTTTTCGAGACAGAGTCTTGCTCTGTCACCCAGGCTGGAGTGCAGTGGCGCAATCTTGGCTCACTGTAACCTCCACCCCCAGGGTCAAATGATTCTCCTGCCTCAGCCTCCCGAGTAGCTGGAATTACAGGTGTGCGCCACCAAGCCCAGCTACTTTTTGTATTTTTAGTAGAGACTGGGTTTCACCATGTTGTCCAGGCTGATCTCGAACTCCTGACATCGTGATCCGCCCACCTCGGCCTCCCAAAGTGCTGGGTTTACAGGCATGAGCCACCCCTCCCGGCCTCTGATGCTTTTTTTTTTTGAGACAGGGTTTCACCATATTGGTCAGGCTGGTCTCGAACTCCTGACTTCACGATCCACCCGCCTCAGCCTCCCAAAGTGCTGGGATTACAGGCATGAGCCACCGCACCCAGCTTCGGATGCCATTTTTATCTGCATCCTCCCAGAATTGGAGGAGAGATGTAGCTCTTTGGAAATCTGTCCTGCCCAGTTCACACCCATGACGCTCCCGACTTTGATAAACCTGTGCCCAGAGGTTTGGCTGACATTCAAGAATAATAAATGAAAGTGGCCTTTCAGTGCAAAATTGGAAAAATCAGTGATTTAAAAATTAAGAGAGGAATAAAACCCAGTAATACCTCCAGAAGTGACCTTTGAGCTGTGTTGCTCTGGGATTTAATACTTTGGGACCATATGTGGGGATTCCAGTTTCCAGTTCTGAAAGTCTTGAGGTGTGACATCTTCTAACTCCCAGATCTGGGTCCCCACAGTGTTTTTCTATCCTTGGGCTATCCTGTTAATTAGGGCCTGGGTGTTAGTGCCAAGGAGGCCTAGGAAGGAGCCCTCCCTCTTTATTCAGAAAAGTCCAGTGTTTCTTGGAGAATCATAGTGTTCAATTTGGCTCTAAATCCAAAGTAAATCCAAAGTGTCTGTCATCTGGCCTCTACTTAGGTGGCAGTTCCCTTGTGATGACAGCCTTCTAAGAATTCTCTCCCAGGCCTCTGAATTTGGAGATAAAGTTGAAAATTTGGGGTTTTGTATGTAGACACGACCGAGTTTTTGAGGAAGGGAAAAATGGCTGAAGCAGAGAAGGTTCTATCTCGTGGCCAACCTATATCTCCCTGAGGGGAGAAAGCAGTGACTCATTAGAATACATTTTTGCTCTTTCAAAAGAGCCAGAGGAAGGTGAATGAACAACATACGGAAAGCTGTATTGCTCCTTCCAGACCAAGCCAGGGGCCAGGAGAGAGCAGATGAATGATTAGGCAAACCTGCTAAGCATGGCCTTAGTTTCCCCATCTGTATAGTAGAGAAAATAAACTCCTCCCAAGGGGACAGGGGCCAGCAGAGCTGCTAGTGAGCAGCCAGGATGAGGGCCAGGCTCATTGTGATTCCTGGGCTCCTAGGAGGAGGGCCTAGTTTTAATGGTGCCCCCTTCCTGCACAGGAGGTGTGGGGTGTTGCATGATGTAAGAGGCGGGGTATTCTTGGCTCTCAGGGGTTTGGGGCCACCCTGCAGATCCGGACAGCTGACAAGGCTGGGGAATGTATCCGGGACATGTGGCTGGGCTTAAGAGGCTCCACAGTTCAGCTGTGATCACGATTGTTCTTTCCAAGGACAGGCCCCAGTCAGTGAAGGAAGCAAGGGCACAGGGGAGGGAGCACAGATGTGCTGGATCTAGAGGAGGAGGGAAGGAGCCCTTTGGGGCAGGTGGCCACTTGCAGAAGAGTGGTTTCCCTTGTCAGTGGTCTTTCTTTTTCTGATTAGGGGAAGGGAAAGTCATTTCCTGCTCCTGTCCCAGGAGTAAGCTAAAATCTATTATTGTAAGTTCATTTCTTGGTGGAGGGTAAGGAGACAAATAAGATCTTAGTGCCTGTGGGAGGAAGCCCTGCCCTGGGGGGGTTTAGGGTTTTGGTCCCACCCAGATCTTGACTTGGCCGGTAGTTCCCAAACCATGCCAGTGGTTAACAGGCTCCTTCTGACTCCTTCTTTACCGACTCTTGGCTTCTAATCCTTCTTTCTGGGAATCTGAGCAGACAATTAAGGGGGTAATACAGTGAAGCAGAAATTTGAAGCTGATTAAATAGCCCAAAGCCGAAGTCCAGCAAGATTCCCACCCTTCCTGTGCTGGAGCTTTGGAGCTCAGCTGACTGGTTGTAAAAGAGGGAAGAGAAGAAGAGGGGTGGGAACCAATAAGTGATGATGGGATGCAGTGATGAAAAGCAACTGTTTTCTTTCGGGGTCTCTAACAGATTATGGCCAGAGGTGAACGTCTTCGTTCTGGTGCTGAGGGTAGGGAGATGGGGGTGGAAGAAGGATTTGCAGACAAATCCAGCTGCCCAAATGCTCTCTATTCTCCCACTGGGGCCATTCTCAGCAGAGTGTCTTTCTTCCTAGGGTATAGGAAGGGGCACGTCCTCCGCCTCCCTCTCCTTCTTTTTAAAGTCCTTTTAAAGCAATAAGTCATCATTTATTTGTAGCTTAATTAGCTAAACTGGGATATTGTCACAAAGAACCAAGCAATAGCGGTGGGCAGGCTCTCTGGCAGCCTAGAGACCTTTCTTCTGAGTTGTTAAAGGGTTAAACAACCTTCACTGAAAGAACCTGCTGAGACTGAATGGGGCAGTGCTCAAGCTACCCATTCATTCACAGCCTCTTGCCAGTTTGTCATTAGCTGACCTGTAGCTTGCAAAGTACAACTGTCAGGTTTTCCCAATATTTCTCAACTCACCTCCCTGGGGTACCTCTAGGCGAGGGTGAGGGTGGGTGGGATTAGGCATCCTGCTCAATTGTGGGGACATTTAACGTGCCTCCTGACTCTTTTCAGCCAGCCTGTATTGAGCGGTCTGCAGCCTGATGCTCAGCCCCTCCCGACAGGTACAAATGCAGGGAGTGTCAGAATGGCTGGCTCTGGCCTCCCAGACCCACCAAGCAGCAAATACAGGGTTTTTTATCCCACTGATTCCCATATCCTAGGACTCTCTGTTCCCTGGCTCCCTCCCTTCCTCACAGACCTGGGCCAGGGAGCCCCATCAATGTAGGTGGGGAGGAATAGAGATTCCTTTCCAACCCAGGGTTACCTTTTGGGGACTGCTTTATAATAAACTCCTACAAGTGAGATTCATTCAACTATAAAAAAAACAAAAAATGAAACCACTTTTAAAACAGGGTGACGGCACAGAACACTGAATT